TCAATAAAGTTTCCACAGATCAAGGGGGGGGGGGTGTAAAAATGATTATTATTTATTTGTTTGTTTGTTTTGAAACGTGGCCAACAGCTCGCTAGCAAACGTGGAAATTCATGGGAAAGCTCCTGGTGACTCCAGCCGCTTGGCGAGCACTTCCCCAGCCCGGGGCAGGATCAGGGGAAAGGGCTCGATCCTGCCTCCCTTTCTCAGGGAAATCCACCTGGCTCTCATCCCGGTCTCTATATTTTTGGGGGTGTATATTACTTTTAATTCCCCAAATCGCGATGCCCAAATAGTGATACCCCATCGCATCTCCCCCTTCCCAGCATCCAGCCTTCCAGGATCATCTCAGTTTCAGCGTAGGGATCAAACCCCTGCTAGCTCTGAGCGCTAGATGTGACTCCCGGGGCCCGATCCTGACATTTCCCCCCCCCCCCCGCCTCTACACCCTTTTGCACCCCGGTGCGGGGTCCGCCGGCTGCGGCTACTGCACGTCGGGATGCAAACAGCATCAGTTACGCGTGTCGAACCGAAAATAACTCCCCTTCGGCACACAACGCCTTTCGTACACCCCCGAGTAAATGAAATCCTCCTCAAATCTTCTCAGTTGCAACTGGAGACGGCAGCTAATATTACCGTTAATTGAGTTGAGAGCTGCGCCTGACTTATGGGGAGTTTCACGGCTTTTTTTTAACACGAGTGATTTAGGGTTTCTCAGCTCCCCGCGAGCACCTTGCATCCCCGACGTGAAACATCACCTTCGCGCACACTTTGTGCCGGGCTGGGAGCGGGTGTTTAACAGGGATCTATACATACGGCCTGCGATATATAGATTGCTCCGTGCGCGTTTGCTATGGAAGAGTGGTTTGGTGACACGACGGTGTGCGTGTCCCCAGGGGGCACATCCACCCTCCGTGGGTACCAGGACGCGAGTGTGTTCCCTAAGGGGGAGGTCTGCAAAGGACTCGGTGCCTCCGCCTGGTTTGAGTGCACCCAGGGACGGCGGGGCTTGGCCGAGGTGGGGGGACACCACCGGCATTATTCCCAGACACCAAATACCGCTGTGGAGGTTTCAAATGATCTAATTCCACGTTTTATACTTTATGATTTCTTGCCAGCATCTCAGTGTGTTTCTGTTTAGATATACTAAGCTCCTTGAAATTCATTAACCTGTGGTCAGCAACCCAAAAAAAAAAAAAAAAAGAGAAGGGAAGTACTGGTTAAGCTATATTCCTTTACAACGTTTGGTCACAGTTAGTTACAGAATTTTCCAGCTGTGAAGATGATGTACACTATTTACTGTAATTGAATTGCCGTTATAACACCTTTCAAGAGGAAAAGTGATACATGACAAAAGTTGAGCTGATGCAGAGGCCCCCCTTTTTCTTTTTCCCCATGCTTATCTGGAATAAAAACTTCACCTCAGAGAGCGGACCCGTGTCTGCCCTGGGGTGGGTGAGGAGCCGCGGAGCCCCCTCCGCACCCGCGCTAAACCCACAGCCCCGGGCAAACTCCCCGCATCCCGCCGGGAATTCCAGGCTGAAACCGGGCGCCGGGCTCAGCCCCGGTGCTGCTCGATTGCATCCCAGTATCAGCCCAGCGCAGCCTGCGAGGAGAGGGAGAGGCTGCTCGTTTGTAGCTTAAAGCGCCGAAAACAGCCATTCTCATGTTTGGGTTTATTGGATTTATTCCCTTCCAACTCGTAATAGATTCTCTAGAGCATCAGAGAGATTATTTTATAAAGTAAATTCAGAGCAGGCTGTTCATTAGATCCCATTATTATTAAAAGGGGACGATCAGTTGAAAAAAAATCCATCTAATTTGGAGGAAAAAAAGCGACACATTTTAAATAATTTCTGTAACTTTTGCTACCTTTGGCGTTTTTGGCAAGAGAACAAATAAAAACCCGGAGGAGTTGGATGTGTTTTTCCCTCTCTCTCTCTCTCTCTGTACTTTTTTTCCCTTCTCAGTGCCACATAACAGCCTTTCCTCCTTCAACTTCAAAGAGGACTGAAAGGACAAACATTCTGATACAGCTAATAATACACGGAGAGAAAGAATTTGCATTCCTTAGCAAATATAAGTGCTCATTAATAGAATCGTGTATTTGGCTATGAACATCTTGCCAGTACCGCTGGGAGATAGAAAAGTGTTCATGTGGGGAGGGTTTGAGGAAGAGTTTTGATTGACGTTCTAGGAGCCACATCTTCCCCTTTCCCCCCAGTCATGTGTATTAGGTCAACGATTACTATTAAAAAAAAGGGGGGGCGGAAAAAGGAAAAGTGAAGTAATAATCATAAAGGAACAGATGGGGACAGAGCTCCCTGCGACTTCTGAAAGGCACAGCAAGGACTTGCTGCCTATAAACTCATCAAGATAATGCTAATTGCCCTCTTAGGCCGTGTCGCAGCTCCCAGCCGGCCGCTTTGCCAGAGGGTCCCGCATCCGCACCGCATCCTCCTCCATATCCGCGCTCTCCGGGGTGCCGCTTCCCCCCATTTACCTCCTCCTGAGGGTTTAGGGAAGAGGAGTCACCCCCTTACCGGGCTCCGGCTGCGCGGAGGGGCGCGGACGGGTGCGGAGGGGCACGGGGCTCTCTTCCGCACAGTTTCTCGCCTTCCGTCTTCCGCGGGCCCTTCGCCCGTGCTGTGCCCGTAGGGCACGAACCTGATCTATAGGTGCCCATAGGTGCCCTGAACTCCTCCATTGGCAGGGCACCCATTCTGAGGCCATCGGTCTGGGGTGCAGCATCCCTATGGACCACCCCGGGAGCTCTCTTTCTCCAGCCAACACCTTCCCAGTCTCTAAGCTGAGGTGATTCTATAGGTGGTAATAATAGGGATATAGGTGGGAATAACGGGGATAATAGGTGGGAAATGGTAAACAAAATTAAAGTTGCTTTGTGATTAAAACTTTGTCCATCTGCCTGAGCTCAAGGCAACTGCAGTGAATACGCAAAGCTTATTTTACCATCATGTGAACTCTATTTTTATTCCCAGTTACCATACTATAAATGTGGACATCTTCTTCCCCATAGAGAAGTCTTCTCCAAGAGGGAATAAATCAACTCTGTGTGAGCCCCAGGAAAGTTTACTGACACCTGTTTTCAGCACAATAAATTCTATAAAAGGATAAAATCTTCGAGAAATTAAAAAGCAACTTTGCCTTTTAAGGTGATTATTTGGGGTTCTCTCTTCTGGCTTATGCCCACAGTGACTGTTTCACATCTTGCTACAAAGAAAGGATATCCAAATATCTGGGCAGCACAGACTGAGTAGGGGTGTCTGCAAGGTGACTCACAGAGAAGATATGCTGGATCAGAACTGCAGCTAGACATAGGGACTACAATTTGGTCACCTGGGTTTCCATCATGTGGTTTAAGCATTTTAAAGGTGAGCAATGTATCTTGAACTGCTATTTTGAAGGGCCTGTTGAGTTTATTATTACTTCAGTCTTTAACATCAGGTTTGGATATCTTTTTAGAAGCTAACCCTTCATTCAACTGCAAGGTTGAGAGCTCGATATAAACTCTGAGCAAGGATACAAACCTCTGCTGAGTTTTACTGCACCAAATTTTGTTGCTGATGGTTCCTTTTTGCCTTTCACTCTTTCAGACTTATTCAAAGAAGTTGTCTTTGCCTGGTAGTTTCTTTAGTTTTCCTTAGATTTGGGAGCAGCTTTTATGCATAAATGTGAGTGTATTTATTTTACTCAAACGCAGTGAACATAATTCGCCTACGACTTCAGTAGGACCATATTTCATCAGAGATGCACGTGAATGCCAGAGGAACAGTGCTAGGAAAGCATCGCTTGTGGTTCTCTGGGATAGTTTGTGTACGGCAAGAGCAGAAACATGCTTTGCCTTCAAAGAAGTCCTGTGTTTTATTAGCATAATCTGTAGAAATTGTCACTCGGGGGCTTGCTGTTGGCTTAGGCCCAGCGGTCACTGGTCTGGTAACCTCCTGACTAGGTCTGGGATTAAAAAGTCAAAAGTTTTTGGTTCATTCAGAAGTGGGAGCCTCCGTCTGCTCACTCTGACGTCTGCGTTGACTCTTTGTTCTGTCCCAGTGGTCCCCAGCCCACGCTGGCCTCAGAATAATAATATCAAGCAAGGAATGCACTGTCTGTTTTGTTTTTCTGCTCCCCTCTCCTCCTCTTTAACTGCTGGGGCTGTGAGCAGCCTCAGAGGGTCCATAAGGTTAACAAATTGGGAATTTCAACCCCCTTTGTTTCAGCCTCCCCTGAAACACGCCTGTTGGCTTTGCTCCGGGGCCGTGAACCCGGGAATCCTTCCCGACATACAGCATCAAGGCCCCCCAAGCTCACAGGGCCCTAAGCTGCTGGGCCAGCCTCAGCAGGGGACTGCCCCAGGGTGAGGAGCATGGATCTTCGGGGATGAAACAAACTGTTTCAGATGCAATGAATTGGACATCTGTTTCATCAGAGAGGAAAAGAAAAAATTCATCAGCTGTAATGAGAGATGCTAGGATATTTTGGTATGTTGATAGGCTGCCTCCTGCTCCTCACAGCTGGAACAAACAAACTACCTAATCTATTGGCCCCTAGGAATGATTTTTTTTTTCCCTTGGGTAATACCTTTTCTTCACATCAGAGCACTGGATTATCAGTAGCATGCACTCGATGCTTTTCAGTGCACTCTTTAGTGGTATTGGGTCATTGCCAGTCTTCAATTTACCTGCAAGTTCTCTTATCTTTAGTCTGTGGATCCACTCTATGCTGGATTTCTTAAATACATGATGTCCTCCTGTACAAGCTATTGTTTTTTAATCCAGCAGCTCTACGAGTGCTAAAAGTCTAGTTTGTTTATTAATAAGGGATCTGCTTGTCCTGTAAGATTCACCTCCTCCAAATGCTTCCCTACCCTTTACATGTGCTGGACCAGGCAGGCAGGACTTGTTCCTACATTAAGAACATCTCAGTATTGCCCATCACCTACAGTAGTCTGTTGCTCAGTACTGGGTGCACTCCCATGTGCTTTTTTGTTTTATAAAGAGCTCATAGAATCATAGAATCATTTGGGTTGGAAGGGACCTTCAAAGCTCATTTAGCTCCAACCCACTGCAATGAGCAGGGACATCTTCAACTAGATCAGGTTGCCCAGAGTCCGTTGGTTCATGGGATTTTTATTAGCAGCTTTGTGTGGACTCTGAAAGGTTTCCTGGTGTGTTCCTGAACCTGATTACATTTCCCCCTTTCCTGACTACATTACAGGCTGGTTTTGTGCACAGGTTTGGCAAACTGAGCTCTTCAGTTGCTTGTGCTAACTTATTTTTCCTGTAAATACAGTATTCTTTTTGCAGCCTGCTCTGGAAGGAATCCTCCTCCATCTCTTATTTACACCATTCCCAGCTGCTGTATTTCTCAGGTGCAGCTCTTTTGCTTTTATGAGTACTTTCCTCCTTGCAAGCAGCTGACCTCTACCCAACCCATCTCACACACAGCAGGCTGAAGAGCGCCGTGAAAGATGTTTCTGCTTCTAACACAAAGTATGTGCTTTTCTTTTGAAAACCAGTGACCAGAGATGGTGCAAGTATAGCTGGGATTTTAGCCAGGCACTTGCAGACCAACTTCCTTGCATTCCCTAAGAGAGGACTATTGCATCCCGGTGGGCAACTGCCTTTTCTAAGCTCCTTGCAGCTGCCCCAGCAGTGGCCCATTTCCAGAGTGCTGTCACCCACGCTTGTTCAATACTTGTTGTATTATAGTCTCTTCTGGAAGCAGGATCCTGTCTGAAGCTACTGATAACAGCTTGCTGTGCTGTTGACACGGTTGCAGATCCTGTGACTCCCTATATTTCTTTTTTTAGCAGCAGCATTCCTGCTCTCTATCTTTTTTTTAAGTCTTCCTTTCATTAAATTGTGCTGATACTACAGAAAATTGTCAGCTGTCCATTCCTTCTCTAGACATGGAATATATCTATATGTATATATATGTATATATGTATGTATAATCACAGCAAGGGGAGGAAAGGGTCAGGTGTTGCTATGGAAAGAGACGATTAATCTGGGACAGAACTGGTAGTAGGGGAGGTGAGAGCCTTCCCCTGCACAAAATAAGCCTTTAAAAGGAAGCTCACAAAGAGCTCAGCTCTTCTCCAGGGAACACCTGCACCAAGTTCAGTAATTTGGTAATTTGCTCCTCTTCTTGCTTGCCTTTGATGATGGCTCTTCAACCAGATTTTCACTGATCTAAATACAGCCTAGTCTCAACTAGTCTGGGTTAAATTAGAAAGAAGATTTGCATGAGGCATTGGCTTGAACACTTTACAAAGAGTTTGATGGTGAGGTCCTGAAGATTATCATATGTTTCTCAAAAATCCTGTGATGGTTCACGCCAGCCAAGCATCTACTTATATGCATAAAACACCTTTCGCTTTTAATAGATGTATCCAAAAGGAAAGAAGAGGAAGTTGGAGGCAAGGTGAGAGATTATCCCCTTTCTTGTCTATCCTGTTATGCCCCTTGCAGATCAAAGCTGCATAACACTCTCTGGTCCGTCATGGTCTTGGGTATCATCAGGGATTGCCACACCAACCAGCCTGTGGCAGAGGAAATCAGCTCTGCTCTTATTCATTAACTCCATTGCTGACCAGGAGAAGGGAGTGCAGGAGAATCCACTGGTGCTTTTGCAGAACTGGTTTCTCTTTGCTCCAGATGCTCACAAGTGGCTTCAACTTCCAGAGGCTCCCAGTGAGGATGGGATCCAAGCAGCCACTCCAACCCACCAACTGGTCTTTACCTAAGTGCCCCACAAAACAGAGGTGACACATTATTGACTGTGACATCTGGATTGCATTTAAAACTAATAGGATAAAAGGTAGATTTGCCAGCTGAATTTCTGATCTATAAAGCTTAGGTTGCACTCTGGGTGTTTTTACATCATCAGAAGAATTACATCTCTGGGTATGTTTTTAGCAGCCTGTCCGATAGCTTCATCCTGGTCTGGCTCAGCACTGGAGCTAGGAGTAAAGAGTTAAATTAGTTTCTTCCCATAAAGCAGGATTTTGCAATCCATTTCACTTTTCCAGCCCCTTCTGTTTTTGTCACTGACTGCAGACCTGCCAGCTGATGTTACCTCTCCTGGTCACCTCTCAGTAGTTTTCAAACTACTGCTTGGAGGAACGTGAAGGAGCAGAATGAGCCTCTCTCAGGGTCACTGGCCTGGCATGATGCTCACACGCACCATGTAATGTGCTCCAAGGAACATTTTAGTTTTTGCTTAGCCTGTCAGTCTCAATTTCAACTCTTTTAAACTTTTCCTTTGCCACAGGAAAAACCAGAGGACTGCGGAAGGCGACCATCAGCTTATATAGCGTAAAGAAGAGTTGGCTTAGATATTACAGTATTAACATTTCCATGGGTCTCTCTTATCTCTAGCATTTTTCGATTTTCATCAGAAGTAGTTTGATTGATTCTGGCATTTTTGTGTTGCTCTGGACCCTTAAAGCCTGGTAAGAAATCATCATCTCTGGCTTTTAAACCTTCACAATCTGAATGTGTCTCCTTGCAGGCGCATGTGCCTGTGTGCAGACACACAGTTGTATTTCAATACACAGAGAAAGGAGTTTATGTACTTCTCTGGAAATCAAATCTGGGAAACAGGGGTGACTCTTACTTCTAAGCATTTAGAAACATTCCATGACCCCTCTCTGCATTTGCAGAGCAGATTTTGCAGCAGAACCAGCACTTAAGAAAAGGGGTTTTGGCCCCGGCTGCTGTGTTAGGGTAGTTTCTCCCTCTCCAGCAGTACCTTTTGAACATGGCAAACGGTACTTTAAGTAGTTGCACGTACTTAAAGCGGTTTTGCTGATCAGGGTTCAGAGCTCCAGTTAGTCATTATTTCATAGCACAGAAGAAATACAGCCTGTCTTCTCTTAGTGACAGGCACACCCAGTGCATGGTACCACTAATATACAGTGATGAGAGTTAAAAAAGGAATTAACTAAAACTGGCCTATTCAAAACTTCAGGATAAGGATCAAGACGTTACCTGATGTGATTATCAGTGGTCACTGATGACAAGAACACTGGGGAGATGGGGGGGGGAGATGAAAAGCAAAAGCTTATGGTGTGCCTCGGGCAGCCAAAAGAAGAGTCAGTAAGAAACACTTATATTTTCCAGAGCACAGAGATTAATTAGCAAGGAGGGCTGGTTTTGCAGCACAGAGCGGGTTTTCTGCGCAAATGGGATTGAATAGCACCATTATAGAGATGGGGTTGTGTTTCTTCTCTTGGGAATCCATGGTTTGTTTGCTAGCGAGGGAAGAGGGACTCCTTAGTTCTACCAGTAAATCTATCCCCAGTGAAAGCAAATCTTAGTAAATAGGGAAGTTGGTTTGTTTGGGGCTTTTTTGTTTGCTTGGGTGGGCTGGCTTTTTTGCATGTTCACATGTGCCTTGTTAAATAGTGGTGTCCATCCACATCCCTGCAAGTGCTCCTTGAAGCCAAGAGTATTTGCAGGGTAAAGCAATGAAGGAAAGGGAGCATCCCCACCACCTTACACTATTGTCACATACTTTGCATCCAGTGGCCTTTTTAAAGTAAACGACAACTTATGAACAGATTGTCTGCTACATTTGACCTATTTGTCATGATCTCAACAATTTCTGTTAAGGTTTCCACTTCAGGAACGTTTCTTAAGTGACAGGAAAGTGGGACTATTTGCCCGCTCTTCTGCTGAAGGAGTGCCATGAAAGGAGGATAGGGAAAACGGGTGGAAAAAAGGCAGCTGCATAAGATGTGGCTAACCAGATGATTCAATCTGGCATCACTGGGGAGAAAGGAACTGAGATATAGGAAGAATTACATATATATATATATACATATATATATATAGGAAGCATATGGGCATCTGGAAGGTGAGGTTAAGAAGTATGACCTTGCCGTACGATGGAAAAAAGGAGTGTAAAGGATGACTGGAAGAGAAGCACAGGATGCTGAGAAAAGTGATTTATCACTTGGTTTTTGGGTTGGGTGACAGATGGGAGGCTGTGGAGAGGAAGGAGACACAGAAAGGAGGAGAAAGGGGCACACAGCAGACTAGGCTGGACCTCAGAAGGGTGGTGAAGGGAAGGTGACAGGCGGTGCAGGTTGGGGGGAGCCGGGGATGGTTGCCAACCTGCGTGGTGATGGGGTGGCATTGTCAGTGATGACACTGTCAGGGATGGCAGGCGACGAGAGTAGGATAGGGGGGATATAGGAGAGGAAAGAACTCTCAGAGCTGACATGGGAGGGGTGAGCTCAGTTCTGATCTCTCAGTGCATTTCCTCGAAATCTGGGGCCATCTGGACACAGTCCTGTCCCTCATACAAGCTGTCAGCAGCACTGAGGGATTGCTCTGGCAGCCAGGACTTCCTGGCACATCCAAGAGCCTCCGTGCTGATGGCCAGGAGGGCAGATGGCACCGGATGCACTACAGTGGCTTTGCACCACCTGGTGCCCCATGTTTTGGGGGAGTCCTGCAGAGCCAGGTGAGCCCCTGGCTTCAGGCACTGCAGCGTCACTCAGCTCGATGGTGTAGAGCCACATCGCAGTGATCAGACGCCCAAACACCTCCAAGGATATGAGCAAACCTTCAGGGTGGCCACATTTGGTATTGTTTGGTTGTGTTGTGTCAGGCATCACCAAAGCAACAGCCTGAGGTGGGTGACAAAGCAGGAGAGTGAGAACTTGGCTGACACAGATGTCTGAAAAGGAATAGATATTTGTAGTAACTGGTTTCTTCAACCCCATCTTCCTTTGCTCAGAGTAGTCCTGATGAGTAAATTCAGATTTGGGCTGGTGTTTTGAGTTTCTCCACCCATAGGTATGAGTAAGAGTCTCTGCAAAGGTTGACCATTCCTCTTCATGAGCACCTATATATTAAAGATTATTTTACTCCAGAAATATTTTATTGGCTTTTAACCATCCCAATAGCAACACTAGTTTATTATAGCGTATCTGGAGGATGTGGTATATCTGGACACCATATCCTCATAGCATATCATAATGGGGATCTGAAAAGTAAAAGATTTGGGGAAAGAAAGTGGTGGTATGTGTTTATTACTGAGCTTAGAGGTGTGAAAAATAAAGCAAGTGATTACAGCTCCTCCATGAAAAAAATCAAGGCTTCAAAAAAGACCGTATAAAATTGTGTGTTAGAAGAGATGACATGGGACGCAAATAGTGACTGCGTATTGGTGAAAGGGTCAGTTCACCCTGGCTGAGGAGCACTGGCTGCTCCTCCTCTCACCTCAGGCACTGCTTACTTGCAGATACTTGAGAGAAGGAAGAGGTAGTAGTCAGCTTGTCCAAACCAGATCCCTAACAAACTCTTCTGGTAGAGGAGACCCCGAGACTTTTTAGCTTGCATCCCATATGTGCATGTATTGCTTCCACAGGAAAATGTGAATGTTTAAAAATAAATTACATCTATTTCAGTTAAACTAAGACTTCTCAAATCTATGTATGACCTTCTGGTCAAAACCAATAAGGATAACATTGACCCACAGTGAAGATATTCACAGAGTGAAATAGGAAGATAAATAGGAGGTCTGAGCTTTCTCTGCATCATAACCACATTCCCTAAGCATTAATTTATTAGTCATCTAGTAAAGGGAAGACAGGAGGAGAAAAAAAGAGAAAATAATCCAAATTGATAAATTTACAACTGTTTTAATTGTATTTTATCACAATATGTGAAAATAGATGTAATGAATTCCTATGCGAGCAAAGATGAAATACCTATAAACACACAAATAACTGTGTACCCATACTGGGCTCATAGAAATCAGAGACGAGCCGCAGAAATTTACCTTAAACTATGTTAGACTGCACAGCAATGTCATTGTACCCCAGAAGAGCATCTCGCCCAGCATCCACTGTATGGTTACACACTCTGCTTTGGGACTGCACTAGCATGGCAGCTAAGGAAGTAGACTTAAATGAATGACCTGAATAGTATGGCACAAGACCATCCCAGTCTCCTTTTTCAGATAGGGAGAAAAGATGAAAACCACTGACACCATAGCCTTGACACTTGAAAGAATGCTGTATGTACGGTGAATGTTGTTCGGGGAAGGGACATATTAGCTGTAAATATTATTAAAGCAGATACTGATTTAAAAATGCATGAACTGTAGAAGAAAGGGAACCATGGCACAACCTGTTAGCAATAAAATTGGAAAGAGAAACATTGCTTACCCAGCTGGTTAAATCATGGAGAGTAAAACCAAGTGAAAAATAAACACCAGATTCAGATGCACACTCAATATATCTGGCTGCCTGCAAAAGCTGGTGCTACTAAGGAGGAGAAGTCTATAATCACACCAAAACTGTCCAAGTCTGTTCAGATCTCTACACTGCAGAGTCTCTCAGCCACTTCCACTCACACAGCAAGCAAGCAGTGACCCGGCTCTACCTATGCTCACTCTGCTAACACAGAGGACTGGACTTAGAACAGATTAATCTTCATAGAATCATAGAATGATGGAATCATACAATCACGTGGAATCATTGAAACACAGAATCATAGGTTGGAAGAGACCTTAACGATCACCTACTTCCAACCCCCTGCTGTGAGCAGGGACACCTTCCACTAGAGCAGCTTGCCCCAAGCCCCTGTGTCCAACCTGGCCTTGAACACTGCCAGGGATGGGGCAGCCACAGCACCCTCACAGGGAAGAGCTTCTGCCTAATATCTGATCTAAATCTACCCTCTTTCATTTTGAGACCATTACCCCCCATTCTATCACTACACTCCCTGATATCTTGGACATCTATATTCCCCCAAAGGATCCAGAGACAGCTTTACGATCTTAAACAGAATGAATTTCAGGAGTATGAAATTAATACCCATTGGGCGACTTCGGTGCTAAACATCCACTGATTTCAAAAGAGAAGTTTCTAAAACTTCTTTTGTTTCCTGATTAGCTCCTATGAACACAGCTTCTGGGTGTCCAAGCTCTCATGAAAAATCAAAGGAAGCCCGCATGCAAACTGAGAGTACAGTTGTCACTTTAGTTTACCCATGCTTGTCCCGGAAAATGAAAAGAGGCTTTTCTCACTTTGTTTTTTTTTTCCATGCACTCGTGCAACACAGTTGTCTTTGG